AAATTAAATAAATCATTTTTATCAAATCACTAAAACAAAATTATTCACTAATCAATCTAATTCATTAGTATTAGCCTATTCATTCTGATCCACATAAAATAATAAAAATTTGTTATCATCAATTAAAACACACTCTCCCAAAATTAATTGGTGACAAATATATAGAACAAAGATTTATTGACAAATATTGGAATTGCCAAGAAAAAGACAATATCTTTGACAACAGCAAGACATTGGCTTAATATTTTGGGATATTCATATCAAAGATATCATCTAGGCATTTATTATGATGGTCATGAACGTGATGGCGGTGTTCAGTATTGTAAAAAATTTTTGGAAGAGGTTTTTGAGCATGAAAAATTTATGTCAAAGTATGAAGGTGAAAATATAGATTGTGTACAGCCTAATTTGACAGAAGGAGAAAAAGAGAATACTTGTTACTCATGATGAGTGCATTTTCCATTCAATGATGGAAAGCATGGTATTTGTATCAAAGATGGAGAAATGCCCTCAAGGAAAAAAGATAATGGAAGGTCAATATTAGTTGGTGAATTTTTAACTGAAATAAATGGAAGATTACAAATACCATTTGATGAAGTTGAAAAATATCCAAGCATTCCAAAAGAAGCACATTGTTATTTAAAACCTGACAAAAATAGAGAAGGTTACTGGACCTCTGAACATCCTCTTCAACATATTGGACAAAAAGCAATTCCAATATTTGAGGCCCTATATCCTAATTGTATTGCAGTATTTGCTTTTGATAACAGTTCAAACCATGCTGCATTTAGTCAAGATGCACTTGTGGCTTCACAAATGAATCTTGGTCTTGGTGGCAAGCAGCCTAAAATGCAACAGACTTTTTTGGGCCAAATAATCAATCACAAGATATGGTTTTTCCAGGTGACTATTCTGTAGAATCATTATGTGGAGAACCTAAAGGAATGAAACAAATATTAATTGAGAGAGTGAAATGGCATGAAGGGTTGTTAGCTGAATGTAAAAATTGTAAAAAAAAGTTGCAGATGAAGCTAGAGTGAATTGCTGTGCACAAAAAATCATTTCCCTTGAACCAGTTTTTCAAGCACAAAAAGATGCAATTCAGGAGTTGATTGAAAGGGCAGGGCATAAATGTATCTTTTACCAAAAATTTCACTGTGAGTTAAATTTCATTGAAAGGTATTGGGGAGCTGCTAAATGTCATGCCAGAGAAAATTGCAATTACTCATGGACTGGATTTCAAGAAACTGTTCCCCAAAGCTTGGATTCTGTGCCTTTGATTACAATTAGAAGATTTGCCCAAAAAGCATGGAGATACATGGATCTATATAGACATGGAATAGGTGGAAAATTAGTAGAATATGCTGTAAGAAAGTACAGATCACATAGAAAGATCCCAGATGGAGTTTTAAAAGAATTAGAAAAAACTAGAATTTAATAATTTAGAATAAGCCAAGTGATTTCTTTTTGTTTTATCATTATATTAATTATTATTTTTTATATATTGTAAATTTCTTTGAGATAAATAATTTTGGTATTTTGACCAATAAAAATGTTTTCACTTGACAAATCACGTGAAGATTTAAAATTTCGGAATGTTGATTACTCTACACTCACCTGCCAAAAGTATCCGGATACTTTTGCAGGTGGAGTGTAGGTGGTTGGCACCATATTTATTTTTAAATACTATTTATTATTTTAGATAAAACAACATTATCTTTTAATACTACTATTGCCATTATCTTTTACCGTTAAATAAAAACATTATCTTTTATTAGTATTATTTTTATTGGTTAAAATTTAATTAAAGATTTTTTTTATAAAAACAAACAAGCTCACAACTGAGAACGCAATGTAAGCTTTTGCTTTGTGTGTTACCAACCATCCACACCATCCTACTCAAGAACAAAAATTCATTTATTTTAAGTTGGGTTTGGGATTGCATCTTTGTCGCAAAGAGCAAAAAAACAACATCACTCAGGCCAAGACAGTAGCCTATTTATTAAATCCAAATAGGAAAGCCGTCCCCACACGTTTTTTGAAAAATTTGAGTACTTCATGTAGCAAAATCGGATCTTAATCTTCATTATCATCCTCAAAAAATAATGATTCATTGTTGTTTGTTACTTGTTGCTATAATAATAACGCTTTCTCATAATTGATGGATCATATATTAACAAATGTAACCAATCAAATCAATTAATGAATTTTATCTAAATAAAATAAACAATAAAAATTAACAAAAGAGAGAGGTCATGTCACGAAGGGTCAATACACCCAGCAAGAGTTTCACTATCTCACTTGCTGGACTTTAATAACACATTTAAGTGAGCCACATGGTTGTACTCCGAGATGAGTACTAGTAATGGAAAAATGAGTCTTATATATATACATGCAGCCCAAATTGATTTGGTGATTTTGATGGTCAAAATTATCCCAATTTTAATGGTAGAAAGTAGAAATTAATTATGGCATTCACTATTAAAAACATAAGTGTAACACCCCTTTACTACATGTGTATCCTCCTTTATGACAGTGTCAAAATACTTTGGCTGCATGTATACTTATATACCAACTGTTTTCAAGTTGTGCATGGGATTTATACAGTTTACAACATTTCATTGGACAAATTCTATTCCATAATTTTTATCGTGTAATTCTGCGTAACCTAAAAAATAAAAATTCAAAATAATTCAATAGAAAAAAGTAGAGTTGATGATAGGTTGCGAGTTAGTGGAAGTAAATGTTAAATACAAGATGTATGTCAATGTAGAAAGCTTCCAAAGAAGTTTGTAAAATATGCTGATGAAAATTTGTCAATTATTCAATAGTTTGTATAGGCGCAATCAAAGTAAGTGTTAAATACAATATCTAAGAAGTTTGCAAATCAAGTTTTACAAATGAACGTTTTATCAATTATTCAATAATCATATAGGTGGGTTTGATCGAAGTAAGTGTTAAAGCCGAGGTCTATGAAGCTGTTTGTAAAATATATTTAATTAACACTTTATCAATTATTAAATAATCGTATAGGCGGATTTGATCGAAGTAAGTGTTAGGCAAGATCTATGAAGCTTGCAAAATGAAAGTTCATCAATTATTCAATAATCATATAGGCGGGTTTTATTGAAGTAAGTGTTAAAGTCAAGGTCTATGAAATTTACAAATCAAGTTTGCAAAATGAATGTTTTATCAATTATTCAATAATTATAGACGGGTTTGATCAAAGTAAGTGTTAAAGTCAAGATTTACAAAGCTTGCAATCCATATTTGCAAAATGAATGTACAGACGTGGTCAAAACATTTTAGTAACAAACAAATAATCAATTCAATTGTAAATGCATAATGCTTTTCTTAAAAAAAAAAATGGGTCATGTGATAGCATTTTTGGGTAATAAACCAATAATTAATTAATTAAACACATAATAATGCTTTTCTAAATCAATGGTACGTTCCAAAAAAACAGGACAAATGATAATTTGTGTAAATCGTAAAATGTTTTTTAGCATTTTTAGTAATAGAAAATTAATTAAACTAAACGCATAACACTTTTCTTAAAAAGTAAACAAATCAATGGTACAATCCAAAAAAAAACAGGACAAGTGATAACAATAGTAAAAATGGTTTTAATAATAGACTGATGCTTTTCTTATAAAAGTAAAATAAACAAATCAACAGTATGATCTTCATCACACTAACTAAATATTAAACGAAAAAAAAGAAAGATGCTTCGCCATCACCAAAAAGTAGCATATAATAAATAACTAACAAAAAACAACAATGAATTCAATTATTAAATAGCTCTTAAATGTAATAAACAAATTTTTTATTCTTACCAAAAGTTGGAGAAAAAGATATTTATTGCTATTGCACGATAAATGTTCATGTGGAAAAAAGGTATTCACATTCATTGATCATCAAAGAAAGAAAAAGAATCAAAGTTAATAATTAAAGATGACGAGGAAAGACATAACAAAATAATGAAAAAGATTATTATTATCAACGATAAGGAGAAAGAAGATATTAATATAATAAATTCACATGATATTGAAGAAACTGAACAACTAATGATAGAATTAGCTACCAGGTTATCATTAGGTGAAACTGTAAATCATTATTTGTTCTCAAACGGGGAAAACGAAATTGAAAGTGATGATAATGGACCTAATAACGATGACAGTCTTGATTCCTCCATTGATTCGGATTCCAATGATGATGATGTTGATGATGTTGTTGATGATGTTGTTGATGATGATGATGATGATGATGATGATGATGATGATGATGATGATGATTACCTTGGATTAAATTTAGGATTAAGAACAAGATGGGATATTATTCGAGAAGCTCAGATTATTCAATCTTTTAATCAAGAATCGCCTGATGATGATGATATAGAAGAAAGTGACGACGATGATTATAACTATATAGCCGAATCTATTTTAAGAAATTCATATATGAATTTTACTTCTTTATTTTCCAATGATGATCATTTTCCAAATCCTGATGACTCTGATCTAACACCACCAGGAACAATTATGCAATTACCATCAGTAAACAATATTATTAATGATGATGTTTCTCCATTTGGACATTTAAATTTTGGCGGAGAATCCTCAATTACTCTTGGGTTTTTGTATAGAGGTTTGTCCTTGTCACCTAGAAAACAACGACAAAAGTTCATTTTATCTTGTCTAAAAGATAGAACACGAACATATCAACGATCACCATCAAACAACTCTATTGAGATATGGCATCCTATCTATGAATTTCTTGATTTACTTCCATCATTTATAAATCCGCAATTTTTCATTGCCAATAATAAGAATTGGGTGAATAAACATATTGTACCTAAACTTTTACAAGAAGCAACTAACGTACAACGAAAAGCTAAGTTAGTCGGTGGTCCTGGTCATATCACAACAGTTAAAGGTGCTTTGAATCATGGCAAATTAAAGGACTCGCCTGTATTTTTTTGTGTTCTATGTAATATACACAGATTGAATACTTACGAAACTATACAAAATCATTTAGCTAGTAATCATGATCATGATGGTGATGGTGATGGTAATAATATAGGCGTAGATAGTGATATTGTTGTTGACCATTTTGATGAAGCCTTCTTATAACTACAATTAATTAATTATTATTATTAGTTATTATTTTATAAAGTAGAATAATTTAAAAATTTTTATTATTATTATATTTTTTTATATATGTATTATAGCAAACTATTAATCATCACTCGTGTATACTATTTCTTTTTTGTATTTCCTTACTATAAATAAATAAAAAATATTATTAATCGTGAAAGCAATTCCATTGTCTGGTATTGTTGTATTTATATATGCTTTAAATTTCGTTGACGATCCCCAAAAATCAAAAATTAATATTAATAATATAAATTCAGAGTTAGACGGTTGATAAATAATAACGTCATGCATAGTAAATAAATAGATAACCATGATGAAATTGTCACATCACTAATAAAAATAAATATGTAAGAAAAATTAATTTGTCTTGATAACAAAAAAAAAAAATGATTCTAGAAAAAAACAATAATAATCAAGCACATCAAGAACAAGCGATACGAGAAACAAGAACATCAAGATACAATAAACCGATGGCAAAAATAACAGCTCTTGATCATTTATCATTGTCACAACGTATGATGCGAATTTTCAAAGGAATGCCACCAGAAGGTTATCCGTTGGCTATAGTTATTGTTGGAGGATTAAGCGGCGGTGTATTTGCACTTACACACAGTTATTTGAAACATCGAAAATTGTCAAGAAATTTAGATTAAAGTTTCTCTTCTCTTGAAAAGAGAGAATTTTCTTGTTAAAATAAAAATAAAAAATTTTCTTTTTGTAGTATTTTTAATTAAATTTTTTTTTCTACAAAATATTTTCGAATTACAAATGAATGTATCGAAAAAAATATATTTTTACAAAGAACGATAATTAAAATTAGTCTATACAAATAAAAATAAAAGGTACTAAAAACTCTCAAATATCTAATTGTTCCATACACACACAAATATCATTACACACACACATACATTAGAATTAAGTGTTACGAGGTTTACAAACAATGCTAGAATTATCAGTTTGACATATTAATACACCAGGACAATTTCTTGTTACTATTTTACCATTATCACAAGTTTCGAATGCTGGACTAGTTCCAGATTTAACACATGTCATTGATCCATTAACCTTGCAACCTTTATTGCTGTTGTCGTCATTTGATGGTGCTTCAGTTGGCGCGGCTGGTTCAGAAGTTGACGGTGATGTTGGTGCGGCTGGTTCAGAAGTTGATGATGTTGTTGGGGCATCGGGTTTTGATGGTTTTGTAAGCTTTGGTTTCTTTGGCTTATCATTGTTGTTATTATCACCACCAATGTTAAGTTTTAAATTTGCTTTGACATCTTTTGCAAGTGGGCCGGATCCTTTTGTATTGCCGGTATTAGCATCATCACCTTCAGGTGTTATTATTTTAGTGAATAAAGGTGGGAAATTTGCTTTTGTAATATCAATGATTGGCAATGGTTTTGTTGAATTTCCGACAATTTTAATATCAGCACAATTTTGATAAAATTCACGATTACCAACGGCATTGATCCAAGACCAAGAGAAAATACATTTTCCAGGTTTATTACAACTGGGGGCACTATCGGGTATTTTAACTTTCCATCCGGTAAAGAAAATATCAGGACAAGTTTTATGATAAGTTGCTATCTTTGTGTAAGTATTACCACCATCATAACTCAATGCAAATTCGCACAGTCCACCATTGTGTCTTGCTTGATCAACCGAGGGGTCTGCTTTCGATGGATCAGGAGCATTTTGATTAAAGAACTTGACATCAATCACTTGACCAGCTTTAAATGTTGTAACAACTTTTTTATCAGCTGGATAGCCGCCACATGGAAATTTTTTCTTGGGACATGGTCCACCACCATTCAATGGAGCCATTATACATTCTAGATCTTTAATTGCTGCATTAGGGTTTAATGGATGAGCTCTTGGAGGAGGGAAGGACATGGTTGTGTGTGCACTAACTGAAGCTACCAATGCTGTAAGAAAAGCAATTCCAATAGAAAACTTCATTTTTGGAGAAGAAAAAGATGATTGTGGTGTGTGTTTGGAAAAGAAAATTTGTATTTTATAAGAGGATTAGAGAGAAGTTTTCTACTAGCCTGCTAGTTAAAAAATAATGTGTATGTGTGTTTATTATAAATATATTATATATATTATAAACCCAGCCTGGGGTTTTATTAGAAAATTGAGAGAACGAGTGCGTACGATATTTTAGATATTTGTAGAGAGATTAGTACCTGATTTGTATGTGAGAATTTCCCTCAAGGTAAAAAAATGATGTATTTATATATTTTGCAATTCATAATTTAATATAAATATTTATCCTATATTAAGAAATTTATATTTGATTTGAAACCTTTTTTTTTCACACTAGAAGTACAAAACCGGTCGTGAAATAAACAATACATATATGCGATTCGATCTCTCAAGCAAATAATATGAATTATTTTTATTTCCTTTGTTGACCAAAACTTTAATAGTTATTATTGTAAAATATTAATATTATTCTATTTTGGTAAAACTCAATGTGAATGTTAACAATTTGGGAATTTTATTCTTTGTTAGGAATTTGCAATTTAACACAAAGACTATAAATAAAGATTAAATTTTTTATTTGTGTTCTGAAACCAATTCATTGTCGCACAAAGTAAATTTTTGTATTCTACTATGAACAAAGTCATTAAATTCCATTTATTGTATTTGTATGCCACGATTTTCGGCCAAGACTGTATCAAATGATGATTACCCGGATTAGTAATAAATGCAAAATTAATATCTTATCTACGTAGATTATTTGATAAATTGTGGAGTTTTATTCAATAATATAAAAAAAATTCGAATAATTAATCAATTAATCAATATTTTCAAATCCCAATTCAAGCATTTTTTAATATTAAAATTCAATTCTTCTAGTAAACATTATTCTAGTCGATATTTCACCAATGCAATTTCCAAATCTTTTATTCAAGTATTAATTTGTCCTTGCTTTTCTTTTTTCAACTCTCTGGAACTAATGATTAATCGTATTCTTGTAGCCTCAGGAGTACCACTATTAATATTAATATTGTTGTTGTAGTCGTTGTTATTATCATAACTATGATTATAAATGGAAGATTGTCTAATACAACTATGGCTGGTGTTGTTGGTTTTTTTATGAGTTCTTTTTACTCTTTTATTTAGAGAATAATTTGCTAATAAAGATGATCTACCGCTTTTCTTATTGTATTCGTCTGAACTAGAACTTTCTTCTTCTGTCACAAATTCCATGACCTTCTCAATAATTAATTAATTAGATGTCGAATTATTTGAATAGATGAATTTCTTATCAACCAATCAAATTCACTCATTCATTCATTCATTTACCTCTTCGTAATTAAAACTTGAATTAGAAAATATTCGATCTTCTTGGATTATTTCTTTCTTTCTCTTATCTTGTTGTGATAAAGGTTTTAAATATCCACTAAATCCATGAATAAGATTGCCACCTTCTTCCAAGTATGAGCTTTCATTTGTATAAATCTTTTTTTCAATCGTCATCTAATAAGAAGCACACTATTAATAATAGATTAAAATATTAATTAGTAGGAAAAAAAAAAAATCTTACTAAACTATCTTCTAAATTTTCCCTTCGTTTCATCAATTCATCAAGTTCTGCTTCAGCTTCCTCATATACCTGTCTAGTAACTAATGGCGGTGTTGTGGTCGTTGTTGTGGTCGTTGTTGTTTTTAACTTAACAAATGAAATAAAATAAAATATTATTATTATAACACTAATTGACGAAAATAAATAATGCTTGTTTGGAATTTTTCATATACCAAAATATTATCACTAACATCAGGCATTTTTATTTTATTTTCTTAAAAATGATTTTTTTTTTAATGTTTATGTTGGAAATATTGTGAAACAATGACATCATTATGGTTGTTATCATATTATCATGTGATATAAACGTTGATCCGTAATTTTAGGGAAATTGTATTTATTAGGATAATCTATCAAATGGCTAATGCTAATGATATTAATTATTACCAAGATCAGATACAAATAATACCTACATTCATGCCTTTTAATTTATCTTTACAAATAAATATTAATTCCCTAGTACTAGATTCGTTAATATTAGACAATTTGAAAATAAACAACACCCCCATTTTCCACCATTAGATTATCATTTTTATTGGATGATGATTAATGTGTGGGAGTTTTTTAATTTATAAATATAAATGAATTATTTTACCTAAACCATTTGCATAAGATAAAACGCATTTTTAGAAATAATAAAAATTCTCTGCAATGATCTGTTTGTCTGTTTTAGCATGATCAATTATTCTCAAGTCTCAAAATAATAATTTCGGCAATTTTTTTAAGAATTATACATTTTTTCATATTAAATTTTAATTTCCCAATTAAAATGTTTGGATATATTTATAAAACAACTAGATCTTGACTATTCTAATGGTTGTTGTTTTGTTGCTATAAGGTTTATAAAAAAATCGGGACCAAGAAAAAAGACCTTAACAAAACGTGCCTTTACAGGGTGTGTATCATATGGTAGTAGTTAGTATTAGTTAATTAAAATAGTTAAATATGGTTCTGCAACTAGGAGGTTGCAACTTGCTGTAAGCCTGCAACTTTAATCATTATAAACTGATCAACACAAATAAAAGATTTAACATTTGTCGTGTCATGATCTCCTTCCAAAACCGCAAGTCGTGCGACTTTCTCGTCGATTGTCTCCTTTTGCGTCTAGCCGCGCCTGGTCTTTTCGGTTTTTGGCGCGATCAACGTTTTCACCATATTTAGCAAAAAAATTGTGTCGTGCGGCAAATGTTTTGTTTTATAAAACAGGCAGGTTGCAATTGCATTGGATTGAGTTGCGTTGAATTGAATTAAAGCAATGCGTTGCAATTGCAATTGAAACCGAAAAATCTTTATTTTTTAAACCTAATTTTTTGCTTTCGTTGAGTGGTAGTTTCAGAAAAAATTTTTTTTTATTTTTTTGAAAAAAAAATTTGATCTACATAATTTTTATTGCAAAGAAAAAAAAATTGAAAATTGATTTGATCTACGTAATTTTTATTGCGAAAAAAAAATAATAATTAATTCAATTGTTGAAATCAGTGTTGTGACCCGAAACTCTGAGTTTAGGGAAGACCCGAAACAGAAACTAACAGTAACCACCGGAAACTAGTTTAGGTTAGTAGTTTATGCCTAGGTTTAGTTTTAGTTTTAGTTTTCTGCTTAGTATTAGTGTAAGTTCATTTTCCGAAACGTTTCGGGAAGCCAAAAGAGTTTCTGGTCACAACACTGGTTGAAATTAAATAGCTCTTCTTAAATGTAAAATAAATAAACTTTTTATTCTTACCAAATAGTTCTCTTCAGTTGGAAAAAAAAAAATATTATTGCACGATAAACGTTCATAACGTGGAAAAAAGATCAAAGAAAGAATAAAGAATAAAGAATCACTTAGATCGATTTCAGAAAAATAAAAATTCTTTCCCAAAAAATTAGGTTTGAAAAAGATAGAATTTTACTGGTTCATTGATCATGTCTCTCCTCACCTTGCAAAGCATCGCATGCAACGATTGCAATTGTTTTGTTTTGCATCTATTAAGAAACGAAACATTTGCGTACGACACAAATATGGTGAAAACATTGATCGCGCCAAAAGCCGAAAAATCAAGCGCGGCTAAACGCAAAAGGAGACAATCGGCGAGAAACCTGGACGAAGGTCGCTCGCCTTACTGATTTTGGAAGGTGGTCGTGACACGGCAAATGTTTTGTTTCTTACTTGTGTTAATTATTTAATTAATAAGAATTCCGCGCATCTTATTATTATCCCTTGACCTTCGAAATCCTCAACTACTCTATATATGTATTGAAATAATATTACGTATTACTTCCAAGCTGCAATGCAAACAGGTCTGTTTGTTGTGCATTACTTACTGAGGCCAAGTTTTTGATGTTGGCGTTGATGGCAATGAAAAATTAATCGTAGATTGTTGCTATTATAACAAGCTTATAACTGAGAACGCAATGCGAACTTTTTGCTTTCGTATTACAAAACACACATACCGTGCTACGCGAGAATAAAAATTCAATTAAGTTGTCTTCTTCGTCGCAAAGAGCAAAAAAATGACATCACTCGGGCCAAGACAATAATCTATTTTATTAAATTCGAAACA